AAAACACGCAAGATTGTTGTTTTAACGGAAAGCTACAATATAGGTTACTTGCGGTCTGTTCACCGAGGGAAATCGAACCCCGGATTTCAGCGTTGCAAGTCTATAGATTTACCGCTAATCTACTGGGTACTCCAAGGAACATATTTGTATTACACAGCTCATGGATAAAAATACGTGTCACAAACTATAATTATTTATTCACATAATTAATTAAATTTCCTTACGTAACATGCCATCCTCTCCTCCCCTCAATAAAAGGTTATGTATTTTATATACCAACTTAACTGGCTATAATAATAACAAAATCAGCAGTAAACTAATAACAAACAATGATATCTAAAGTGGAAAAGTAATTAGCACAACACTGTTCATTTAGTCCTAAGTTTCGAGCTATAAACTGTTAATTCTCAATTCAAGAGTAGACAAGAACTTGTAAATTAGCGTGACCCAGAACACGTCAAGACCTTCATGCATAACGTTATCATAAAGCGTTTAGTGTTTAGTTTCTTTCATGTGTGTGGAGTGTGATAAATAATTTATGAAATTGGTTTTATTTCTTTAGAATATACGCGCAAAGCTACACAAAAGCTAGCTGCGTAATCCGTCCCTAGTTTTGAAACAGTATACTAGGAAATAGGCCACTAAGTCAACAGCACCCGTCGTCAACCTTTGGGCAACCTTAATTAAATAGAGGGATTTCACCGTCACTCTTATAATGCACCTAAGGTCCTAAAGCTCCGAGTGCAAGTTTGTGACAATCACTAGGCCATGCCCAGCTGTGAGGTATTGGATGTGCAATAAAGAGCGAGGCGATATTTTACTTTACAAAATACTCAACTATCCAGATTTATTAAAATTGTATTTTGTTTTGATTATTTCATTATTTGGTTGAAAGTTAATAACCATCCTATACCAGTTTTTTAGGCCTAATAACATTTAAGATCATGCTTTAGGCTTAGATTTCATAGCTCCAAGAGTAATCAATCTCTTCTTTTCTTAGAAAATGTATTTCCCACTGCTTTCTCTAACTAAAACATTGTGAATTAATGTAATTTTATTTATAGAACGAAAAACAAATTAACCTATCAATTACATGGCTCGACTTCGCAAAATAATCAAAATGTTTTATGGGTTGTTTTTTAACGCAAAGAAAATAAGGAGATAAATCTTTGATACAAGATGTTTGGTTACATGTTGTAGATCAGATAACAAAAGTGGGAAATTCCATTTTGTTTCACACTGGGAATATAACAAACTAAATCTGCATCTTATCTATTTTAACAAGAAGAATAAGACATGTTTTGTTCCATATAACAGGAATAGAACTGTGCAAAGTTTAGATTGGCATCTATTTCTTTGCTGTATGCTGTTGGAGATACTCAGAACCACAAGGAATTGGAATTCAGTCACTAATGAAGTACAAGTCACCCCTCTACCAAGATATCTTGATACTGAGGTTTCCGCTACAATAACTGTATATACCGCCAACAAACGCATAGATTTTATCGGCAAGCCGGGGTAAAATCCCAAATGGCTGTTTACTTCGATATAACTAGAAGATTTGTTCTACAGCAATTCTCCTAGGAATTTCACATGGTTGAGCAACAAGCTTTGGTTTTAACACATTTTTCTCCATGACTATGTCTACATATAGAAGGATGTGCCTATCCAAATGTAATAAACAGTACTTTTGTGTGAATACTTCAACATCTATGTCTACATATAGAAGGATGTGCCTATCCAAATGTAATAAACAGTACTTTTGTGTGAATACTTCAACATCATGTCTACATATAGAAGGATGTGCCTATCCAAATGTAATAAACAGTACTTTTGTGTGAATACTTCAACATCATGTCGCAGCAGTCCGTCAAACGTGACGTCAGTGATCCGTTACACTCACTTCTGTGATGCGCTTTTTAACTAATTAAAAATTAAATTTTTTAACATTATCAGGTTTCAGAATTACGATGAACCCTATATTTTAATAAAAAAAAACGTAATTATATTGTATAAAATTAAGTTGTTCCTTTTAGTTGTTGTTGTTGTTGGTGTGTGTGTGCAGTATACACTAAAACATTGAGCTTATCCGAGCTACAAGAACTAATTTTTAAAAACATCCTAGCATCTCATTTTGATTTCTATGGAAGCTTTAGATAAATTTTCCATTTTCATACAATTACAGTATGCTTTTGTTTATCTCAAAATTCCAGGGTTTCAATGAAAAACAACAAAATATTATCTTCGTCTCATTCAGCAAACATATGATTTTTATCTAGTTTTTTTTGCTGATAAAAAAAACGTGGAAAATATAATGGTTCCAATATAACCCAATAACAAAAAAATAATAATAATGAAAGCAACAACACGACACAAATCAGCCAACTTTAGATTATTCGTATAATTTAATTAAGCAAAAGTCTTTTGGAGGAATTAATCTTTATAATGGATTATCACGTGAATAATGTTAAGATCTTATAAAATATAAAAGACAAAAAAAAAGTAATAAAACGTTCTAGAGGCTAAGGGAGACCTAACGGCACACCGTAGGATTTATCTCCAAATGAAAGTTTATGGGACACTATTTTATCCTCTGGGGTAATCATGACATAACTTGATAAAAGAAAATAGTCTTCTGCTTACTTGATGTTTTTGTTTCCCTTTTACTACACTATGAAAATTGATAATAAATCTAGAGACATGAAATTAATAACGTTCTTTTTACTACTGAAAATTCGATGTGCAGCTAGAATTCATCAGGAAAAAATGGTATTCTGCGGTGTGGAAAACGTTAAGAATAAAAAAGGTCCGATCACAAGTGACAGAAAACAATAATAACTTTATGACCAATCCTGTTACCATACATAAAAACGCAAAGAAGCTTTAATGGTTATTCTGAAACTATGGAACTAATGTTGCATCAGACATTATTCATAAAAGTTTTGTCGTAGCAGATCAGAAATTACAAGTGGCCTTTTTTTTTTTGCATACGCCATATTTGAGGGAAATTCTTATGGAATCTTACTCTCACACCAATGGATGATGACTGCTTTTAACCAACACTAATAGCATTCACAACAAGAAAACTGCTATAATAATGTTTCTAATATTAATAAAACTATGGAATATTTTTCAATTGTTTCACAATTTTCCGCGCAAATCCACACAAGGATTATCTGCGCATAGCCGTTCTCAGTTTTGGAATGAAAGATTAGAGGAAAGACAGCTAGCAAACAACACCCACTGCCAACTCTTGAGATACTCTTATCTGACTGAAGAGTGGAATTTGACGTTCGCTCTTACAGAGCACCCCATTGCTCAAAGTGTGGGCCACTCTTTTGAGGCAGCGGGACGCGAATCATAAATCTTCGGATTCATAGATCAGACACGCTAACAAACAGGCCGCACCTGGCCAAATCTTTTCAAAGCCCAGCAGCTTGACTGTTTAGATCTATTTCTCTCCCTTCGTTGTAAAGCCTAAAGGAAACCTGTGCTGAGTCCCAATCTTCCACATTTTGGAAGGCCTTGATTTATACTCAACGTTCCGAATATTCAGGTTCACAAACAAATTTTAACTAAGTAAGAAGGACACGTAAATAGAGTTGTTACTCGGACAGAATTTCTATTATATACTAGATGTTCTTGTGTTTCAAGAGTAAATAAAACGAATATTTCTATTTCTTGCTTTTGAAGTTCATGTGTCATGCTGTATTGTAGCCTGTAGTGTAGTCCCTTTTGTGACGTCATTTTAGTGTCTACTGACTGACTGACAGACAACACACTGATGCGACTGGTTAAAACAGGTGACCCCCTTCAGGCGGTCTTCAGCCCCCTTTCGGGAAAATAACTAAAACTCATTATGAATTATTATAACAGCAATATTGAACATAATCCGAAAAAAAATATATATTATTATTTACTTACTTTAAGGCAATTGTATATTAAAATAATAAAATTTCTCGTTTAAATATCTTCGTTGATGTAGAAAAATACAGTTTTGAAAGTAAACTTTTGACCTGTCTAATAAAACTGGAGTTTAAAAACATGAAAACATATATATATATAATAACAATAATCGAATTAACATCGTCATGGAAAATTCTTGCAATTTTGGGATAAGAAATGCTTTTATCATTAAAAAAATATTCATATTAACAAATTGCGTAAATTTAACAAGTAAAAAAACAACATAAAACCATTGATGTTTTATCCTCCCTGCATGGACATAAAATACTGTTTTATAATATGTAAATTCTTTATTTTTCAACCAGTAGAAATATCTTCAGCTAGCTGTTGTTTTACACTAGGATGACAATACGTCAGAGTTTTCTGAGGACAATCACCGGATGAAAAATATTGTCCCTGTACGTGTTCCCAATTTGAAAAAGTTGTCTAAATTTCATTTGTGATATTTATTATGAAGTCTGTAACAGAAATACACCAGGAATAAACATTCAGCCATTTTTATCATCATTTTTATTACCTTAGGTCATCGTCATGTGACGACACTAGCACAATCTCCATAGCTTCAACCTAGAATTTATCATAACACATTTCTGTGTGGTTGTTTTTTAGAAAAATAAAATCCTAAAACACATACACAAATCAGATGGATTCAACTGCTACTAATATAGCAAACTTTTTCAGTAATGTCTGCATCTGGAATTATGGCGTGCACAGGATTATAATTTTTAAAAGTTGTCCCTGGTTTTGGGTTACAAAATATGGCCACCTTATTTTATATGTCATTTCCTCCTCTCGATGTTATGGCATTCAACTATTTTCTGATTTACCTTAACATGAAAAAGATGTTTCGTCTAAAAGGAATAGGAATCTTGTGTATTTATTGCTAACATTCGGATCTAAAATAAAGCATATAATCCATACAACTTTCAGGTGTTTAAATTCACCATTAAGTTAGGCTTACCATTTTTAAAGGAGATTGGTGTTATGAAATTAGCATTATAAAACTTTGCTACGTTTTATTTTTCAGAACTTACCTTCTTCAGCCCGGCTACTTCCATACACCATGACGTCACGGTCACGAACGGCTACACAAAAGACAGTTTAATAGATTAATACAAAAACTTTATGTATTTGTTACATCAAGTAGTTTCTACACAAATCATGTATTAATTGCACACTAGCCAATACAAACAATGACAATATTCAAAACAGTTCCACTGAAGGCATATCTAAAAATTGCATAACCAGTTCACAAGAAATTGTTTGTGGCGCCGCTCTGTCTGGTGGAAATAGATTAATTTTTTCGTGATTTTATCGAGAAAATGTCTGGCGCCTTGTAAAGTGCGGAGCTCTATGTTTAATATTTGGCGTTATATTCGGAACATATACATTTAAAATGATGAAAAGGTAGTTTAATATAGGAAGAAGTGTTTAGCACATAAACAAGATTAGCCTAACAGAAAAGAATGTTCTCTTATGGGAATTCATCGAGATTACATTACGTATGCACTTCTAGTGGACAATAATACTAAAATAACTTGAAGTTCTTCGCGATAGAACAAATCAAAAATATGCAAAATAAAATAAAAACTGAGTACAAAAGACTTTTTACGGCTTATAAAAACGTTTGTGAATACTGAAAAAACAAGTAATGGATTAACATTGTATATAATTTTAAAACACGTGGAATTTTGACCAAAACCTTCGTCGATTTTTTATTTAATGTTTCAGTAAGTTGAAACTGACATCGTGATTACTGTAGAACATTTGTGTTTAAATTTAAGACATATCTGATGACGGAAGAAAATCACCTATAACTGGATGGGTGAACGCGTTGCACGTTCATAATTGAAAGTCAGTCTTGCGAAGGTATACAATGTACTGTTTTCTTTAAAAAACTTAACGTTTGTTTATATATGCTTCATGATTCTCAAACCAACAAGAAGATATGTACACATGACTGAGTCGTTCAAATTTCCATCAACATAATTTCAACATTCGAACAGTAATCCGTCTTTTAGTTTGGAACATCACACGTGTAGCAATTCACACAACGACAGGACTACTACAGCCCGTTTTGAAAATCTATAGGAACTACTTGTGTAAAATAACGATGAGTTCATTTTGCTCTAAGTGTCACAAAAAAGATTTTTTCTCATTATAAACTATATTTTAAATATCTCGAGTTTGATTACATTATTTCTCAAATCATTATTATACCTTCCCTAAGTTAAAGTGAATATTTGTCTTCTTAAGTTTCATTTCTTACATATTATTGTTTCAGAATATGAAGGGATCATAAACATACTTCTTAATGGCCTGTAATAATAAATTATATAACTTTTCTCACCCATGTTATACGAAAACAGCTATAGTGTTTATCACACAAACACTCATATGTGTGCTGCATGACAACTCGACACGAACATCAAAACTAGTGTCATATATTTTTACTTTCTCTTTGAGGTTTACAACGAAGAAGTGTTCTGATGGAATTAAGATGGGTTCCGAATTATACTGATGTGAAAATTAAAACCTAGGAACACACAGATGTCTTAAAAAGAAATCAAAAGGGATACACACATATACACAGAAAAACAAAAACAAAAAAAACAGAAAGATAGTTAACTTATTTATGTCTTCTGGAAACTTGAATTGCAAATTGTGTCAAAATATCTTGTCTCACCCTAAGTAGAGTCTAATAATGTATTTTCATTGTACTAGTAATGAATTGTATGTACCACGTTTAAAACGGCCTACTGCTACTATGATAATGCTTCATTTCCAGTATTTTAATCATCTGCATAACAACCCAAAATATTCAATAAATTACACAGGTAGATAATTACTCCAGAAAATCACATGACATTTTCCAAACAGACACGACAGTTTTAGTTCTGGTTGTAAAGAAACCAGACAGTAGGGCGATACAACGTTATATGCGCGATGTTTCAGTTTTGTTTTTCTTATTTTCTTATTTTTTTATCGTTGTTAAAAGCAATGCTGTACAACATGTGTTTATACAACAGTTTTGTTTTTTATTTTGTATAGTTATTTACATTTTCTGACCCACGACGGCTCATAAGTGTGTTTATGTTGGCGCTTTTATTTATTTGGTTTACGTATTCTCTTGTTTGTTTATTATTTTATGAATCCTCAACATACGAGTTTTAACATCAATACATGTGTGTTTTTAACATCAAATATTTATGTTTAACACCAAAATGTATGTGTTTGGCTGCAGTTTATATTAGTTGTATCATCTAAGAACAATTAACAAATATACAAGTTTTTATTAGTCATTTCATTTAAGATCTGGACTCTTCAAAAAGTACTTCAGTTTCAATTAACGTTTGTAGCAAACTTTTGATTTTCGTAACTGGTAAGAGAGACCTTTTCTCATTTATAGTTTTTTTCTTTGTGTTCCTTAAACAATTTAACACTGTTTCTTTGGTGCATAAGTAGTTTAAATATTCTAAGCATAAAGTTGAAAAAACAATTTAATTATCATTTTAAAGTGGTACTCCGACGACTAGTGTTTCCAACACAAATATCCTGTCAACTGTAATATGGTTTGTATATGTAGCATTACAGTTCCATCTGGGAGCTTTTTGAACGTGACAACGTTACATATAAATGTGATATGGCTTGTATGTGTATCATTGGGTTACTCTTCGATCGAGAGTTAAATAGCGTGAGCTTGTAGAATATGAACGTTATCCATAAACGTTATATGTAGCATTGCAATATTATTAGTATGATACTCTTCGAGTTAAATAGAGTGAGCTTGTAGAACGTGATAGTTATCCATAAATGTAAATTGATGTAATATCACATTACATTACTATTAGTATGGTACTCTTTGATCTACAGTTAAATAGAGTGAGCTTGTAGAACGTGATAGTTATCCATAAATGTAAATTGATGTAATATCACATTACATTACTATTAGTATGGTACTTTTTGATCTACAGTTAAATAGAGTGAGCTTGTAGAACGTGATAGTTATCCATAAATGTAAATTGATGTAATATCACATTACATTACTATTAGTATGGTACTCTTTGATCTACAGTTAAATAGAGTGAGCTTGTAGAATGTTATCCATCAAGTGCCAATTTAAAACAATTATCAAAAAATCATAAGGTTGGGCTATAAAATATTATGGAAACGAAGAAAACGGTCTTTGATTAAACCAAAATGGTTCACCAACACTTAGATTTCTGAAATTGCGGTAACACACCATCACACCAGGACAAGTTGAAATACCGGGAGGAAAAAGTCATCCAAAAACTACTGTTTGAGAAAATCAACCTTTTGCGTAAAAATAGATGTGGACAACGTTGGTAAATGTGTATAGATTACACTTTCTTGCTCGTGTTTTGTTACATAGACAGTTCACAATGTAGGACCTACTAGTCATGCTTTACTAATGTATTTCAAGTTCTATTACGTTTTAGTGCGTGTACTTCAAGACTTTTTCAATAAAATCATACCTCTACACATGCCTCCAGTACAGTTGCCAGTTGCCAGATCTTTACCATTACAGTAACGGCCGCCATTTACAGGTTTGGGGTTATTACAAGATCTCCTGCGATGGTGTTTACAATCCAGTCCACAGGTTGACCAAGATGACCAGGAAGTCCATCGCCCATCTATAGCTAAAAAACAAAAATACCGTAGATAACTTTTCTTGTCTAAACTGAATTAAATTTTTTTGTGAATGACATGTCAGCAAAATAAAATCCACGTTTTTATTAAATTAAGGCAAAAACGGACAATATCTGTTACGGTTTTATGAAGGAGATATACGCGTTAAATTTTTTTTTGGGGGGGGGGGGTAAGCATATGAAAATATGTCTGGTTTATAACGAGTTTTTGAGCTTTCTTCCAGTGGGCCTTAAGTACTTCAAACAGCTAGCACTTTTTCAAGTTAGCTACTACTGTATAAACCATGATCTTCATTCGTCATTTCTGGTTGAAATGCATGTTACTTCTTTTGGAAAACAATAAACAAGCATCCTATTAGTGTACAAAAACCTTACCCACCATAAAAATAGCCCTGAATCCGAAAATGATATCCATTTTTCTTCATTACTTACAGGTGAAAGAAAGACCACAACAGGTATTTTTGAGACTAAAAGAGGTAGATTTCACACACACACACAGCACACAATTCAGGATGAATGAGGATGCATATTCGTTTGACATAAATGTTCTTCCCTTTTCTTCTGTTTGTTTGTATTTTTGTTAATAAACATTATTATGTTACATATTACAATTTCGAATGGTCTGAAAACGAGCTAAATGATAATTTAAATTTAGTAGTTAAATAAATTCCGATATATCTCCAATTTATGATATTTGCGAACAAGATTGATACACACAGTTTTCTTCGTTTTATACAAACATGTTTTAATACACAAACAATAATACAATTTACAGTTATTACAAACAGCTACAACAAACAATGATTTATGTACAAAAGTTCCACAAAGTTACAAGCAATACAAAGTCTTCTTTCTAGTCTGGAACTTCCTTGATGTCTTATCGAGGGTTCACGAAGAGCGAGTTAATTTCGAGTTGACGTAGGTACAATTCACATAATAGGGAGCTACCCTATCTCTGTGGGCCTCGCTGATCACACGCCGATGACACATCGAGATTGTGTTTTTTACCGCTGAAGTTATATAATGTCTTCGTAAAAGTACTAATGTCCGATGTGAATCCACTGAAGTTAGATGGTGTGTAGTGTTCGAGATAAATGTTTCTGGTCAAATATCTGAAGTGTCCCGATTAATAAGCGTTATAACAATCATAGTTATATCTTCCGAAGTTTATAGCACACCAACTATAGCCAATGTAGCGTAATTCAATCATATGCATTTAAATTTGCATAAGGTGAAGGCAGGAGAGAGCTATGCCTTTCCAACAACGTTAGTCAGTCAGATAGTCAGATTGACGGTTTTGTGAAATTTTTGTTTTTACTCAACCGACTCTTTTGGTGACTTGTTTACTACTCAACAGCGTGTATAAAGTGCATATAAAGTTTTGTTTACACGCTGTTTGCAGTGTGTTTGATATTTTAATTTGAATTGCACATATGCACATCTGGCCTATTCCTACTATGTGTACTATCATAGTTATGATATTATTGAACAACTGGATATTCTATTAAAATATCTTAGAAAAGATTTGTTTGTTTATTTGTTTTGCGCTAGCCGTCCCTAATTTAGCAGTATAAGACTAGAGGGAAGGCAGCTAGTCATCACCACACACCACCAACTCTTGGGCTACTCTTTTACCAACGAATAGTGGGATTGACCGACACATTATAACGCCCCCACGGTTGAAAGGGCGAGTATATTTGGTGTTACGGGGATTCGAACCCGCGACCCACAGATTGCGAGTCCCTAACCACTTGGCTATGCCGGGCCCTTCTAGAAAAGAACACAATAATAGACTACTGAATAACTGTAAATCTATTAAAAGACCCTAGAAAGGTACACGACACTATATCATTGAACAACTGGGAATCTATTAGAAGGCCTTAGAAAGGAACACATTACTATATTATGAAAATGACTAGGAATCTATTGAAAAAGAACACAATAATAGACTACCGAATAAATGAGAATCTATTAAAGAACCTTAGAAAGGAGACCAATACTATATTACTGTACAAAACTGAATCTAACGAGAAAAAAGTACAATATACATATTGCTGAATAATAGAGAATGTATAACAAAACTACAAAAAAGGAACAAAATACGGTATTAATCAATAACTGTAATCTGTACGTTCTGGAAATATTGTATATCGTTATCCAAAATAGACGTACGCGTACGGTTTGACGTGCTATAAAATCATAACATAACCAATAATCTGATCATTACGGGAGGTGTGTGTGTGTGCGTTAGTTGTATCACTTAGAGCAGCGAGATAATTTCGGAGTGAGTTGGTAGACAATTTAAAGCCTTGAAGTCCTTGACAGAATAATCAGTTGACAGTACCCGCCCTTAAAACTCATGAACATCAAGCTGGCTGCTCGTTTAAAGAATGACTAACACCATATAAAAACTAGAGAAACTTTGTCTGAATAACGTGTGACGTCAGCGTTTAAAACGAGATTACATATAATTTTTTAAAAGAAGACAACAGTAACAGGATGCATTAAAAACGTTTCATTCTTTGATGAACTGATTAGAAATGCACAGATTGCACAAATAGTTAAATTGATTCACAATCAATGGTCATTGGTTTTTGATTCTTAACTTTTCAAACTTTTCCAAATATTATTAGCCAAAAACTCCGAGATAATGGGCGTCGATATATTGTTGATAATCCAAACCGAGATCAGTCTAACCAGTTTTGTCTGTCACTTTTACTGTCCATGTGATATTATTAATGAACGAATGTAAAATTTTCTGAAACAGATTGTTTTATTTATAGCGTTATCTCCTGGAAAAACTTAGTTTTGTTTATAGCTTGATGAACGTGAAAAAACATAATGTCGTATCTATAAAGCTATAAACTTGAACAACAGGTTGTTTTTTTCTTTTTAATTTTCCAGAAATAACAGTTTTTATCATAATAAATGAAAAGTGGCAACTGAAACACAAGTAGACATAATACGTTATCTTTTTTAGGCAATTTTTTCTTAGTGAGAAAATATTTGAAACTACAGACTTTATCAAAAACTTCGGTTGGTTAGAGAATAATTCGAAGAACCCACGAGTGAAAACAGAGAATAATGTGTTATGACATAGCTCAAAACCGTGATTCTCACTCGCCATGTTTAGGAATTGTTACCCAATATAGGCAGATGTTCCATATTAGATTGTTACATTACCATTTCTTTATCAGTTAAGAAGAAAAAAGTCGTAAAATAATAAGAAATTGTCATTGAAATATTAAGCATTAGCTTATAAAAAATAAACTTTTAACAATATCAAGAAAATTTTTTTACGTTTTTATAAGAGTGATTTGAAAAATTATTTTACGATATTAGTATGTACATAAAGTAAGGCTCTTTTCCATTGCTTTAAAACACAAAACGTTTGCATTGGAAAAGCCAAGGTTCGAACCACTGAACATGTTCAGCAATTTCAGTTGTGAGGCATTATAATTGTGACAGTCAATCCTACTGTTAAGAGCAGTATATTTGGCAAAAGGTGTTTTTGTCTGGTCGCCCTCCCTCTGGTCAGAAAATTGTCGTTGTATGTATGATATTTTCAGTTTTCTTTTACTCACCACGGTGAACCTGTATTTATGTAGAATTAGAACAATATGTAATATTAATGCTACTAGTATATTCTCTTAATTTATTCAGTACACGAAGTGTTTAAAATACTAAAAATAAATACGAAGCAAAATATATCATTCGATTCATTACTTGTCTCCGAGTTGTCACTGTTTCGGGGAATTTCATCCCTCATTAGTAACCTCAAACAGTCCACCACTATAAGAAGCCTATTCTTTTTTCTTTTTTTTCGATTTTCTCTTGTTCAGGGTTACTGATGAGAGGTAGAATTTCCTGAAACCGGTATAACTCAAGGACAAGTTGTGAATCGAATGACAAATTGGAATTCGCATTTATTTTTAATAAATTAGGGTTGATTATGCCTTAACTATAGGGTCTTTGACCCGTACTATAGGGTCCTTGACCTGTTTGTTTAACATTTGTGTTTCATAATATGCTGTGTAAATCGTAAATACCAAATACAAATACTATTCAACATAAAACAATAAAACAGGGTTGAGCAAGTTTTATTAAAATGATTTTGAATAAGTAAATTAGTAAGTCACGTGACAGCCAAAGCGAATACAAACTTGCAGTGGAACGGTGCGTATCACAACTACATTTTGATATTATTTGGCTTTCCTAGGCTGTGTGCTACCGCCAAAATTGGTTGTTTCGGGAAAGGTATTTAACAGCTCTTTACGATGCAAAATATTCTAATACTTTGATCGTAAATATATTTTCATGTCAGGAATTTAGAACTTCTAGGATGAAGCTATCCCTTACACGTAATAGCATTATAAAACAAAGAAACATGAATCATGTTGGGGCCTCAGGACCAGTCAACAAGAGACGAGCAACAATTCGTAAGTAAAGTGTGGCATCTTGTAACAGGATGGGAATCCACAAACAATACCGTTAGTAGCAAAAGCAGTCCGCGTGTCTCAGGCAACAGCACAAAATATAATCAAGAAGAATCTCCTTCTGGAAAAGCGACACAAGTCAAATTTATATAGTTTTCTCCCACACATTTATTCAACCGTTGCATACCTCAAGTGGCTGGAGAATAAGACAAGTATTTATACAAATCCATACGAAGACATGCCGGTTATGTCTCCGAAAGCAGCACCTATGGATCGGACTGTTGAAACAGACAATGAGAAACTATCGTCCTTTTTATATTAGATGACTTATGGAAAACAATCACTGTGAAAAGATGCGGTTTAGACATTACAACCTTACGAAGGAGCCTTGGGCAATGGAAACTACGCTGCAGGATTATCGTCAAGATGCACGATCGTCAGATAAAACGTGGCGGCATAGACTATAACAACGTGATGAGGCTTCTAAATCGTTTTAATACAAGATAGTCCAGTTCTGTATTCCTTCAGTCATTCGTTGTGATGTACGTCTAAGTT